CGGCTGTTTTAAATCCCCATCCAGTTCTCTGTCCTGAGTTTTTAATGTTTTTAAACTTCTTACGCTGTGCCCGCGAGCCCTTGCTGGGCAGGGCGTAGTTTGGACTCCTCTCCTGGGAGACAGCCGTGGACTTCTCCGGACTGTCTGCTCGGGTCAGAGCCCACCCTGGGAGCAAGCGCTGAGGCCGGTAACGTTCCCTCTCCCCTCCCCTTCTCGTCTTGCTCTGAGTCCCGCTGGGCCTGGGCTATGCTGCGGGGCGGATCCCCCACCACAGCTCCAACATGCCAGCAGCATCTGGAAAGAGATTCAAACCCAGCAAATACGTTCCAGTCTCAGCTGCTGCCATCTTCCTAGTGGGAGCCACCACCCTCTTCTTTGCCTTCACGTGAGTCCCGGCTGCTCGGCCGAAGCGTGGGGAGGGCGAAGGGAGACCCAGGGACCCATTCCTCTCCATGTGATGCCATGAAGCTGGGGGGGCAGAGACCGCAGGGGGCTTGTCTGGCAGAGGGGCTGACGGGAGGATGTTGTGCTCTGGGGACTAAAGGGTGGGCGGTGGAGCAGCCTTGCAGTCCATCGCACAGTTGAGCCCAGCTGCGCTCGGTTTTCCCACGGGGTGAGCCAGAGGAGGCAGGGTGCGGTGGATCCCGGCAAGGCACCTTGCCACCGCTCGGCTCTGGTTCCTGGCAGCCGCTCCTCCCCTGTCTTCGGGTGTTCACACAGCTCTCTCGACTCACTGGCAGCTCTCTCTCGGATCAGCCAGGCTGGGATTGGTTTGTGACCTGTAGGTGGAAAATGGCAAAGATTATTTTTTCCTTTGGAGCTAAGTGAAGTGATTTGGTGGACTGGGGCAGGCTCCATGTTACTGTTTAGAGTTTTGTAACTGATTTGTGAGCCACAAAGGAGAGTTCAAGGAGAAGCACTCTGACCCCTCTGTGGGTCTCTTGCTGCTGTTGATGTCGGTCTTGCTCTGAGGGAATGGGGGCCTGGTATCTCTGGAGCAGACCCAAAGAGGTAGCCTGAGGCAGACGCCTGTGTTGGCCTTGGAGCTGGTGGGGAAAAGCCAGGGTATAAAATGGCGCCAGTAGCTGGAGAGGGCCGGACCATACCATAGGGACCTCACTGGGCTGGGAGAGGGGTAGGGCTGCTGCTCACATTAAAATTTTCCCTTCCTGGGTGAGAAATAGCTTATTAACACTCGTTCAGGGCTGAGCTGAGCTGGTTCTGGGGTGGCTGCGGGCAGGAAGGCAGGGGCTCGGGCTGCCAGCGTGGCTGCTGTGCTGTTGCTGAGCCCCAGCACGGAGCTGCGTGCGCTCCCCGCTCGAGCGGCCGCAGCCGGGCTGGTGCCGAGGCACTTGTGCTGGGCAGGAACGCCGGAGGGTGCCAACTGGGGCTGGCTGCCGAGCCCTACAGTGTGTTCCTGGGGTTGAGGTCTGAGAGCGGGTGCATTTTGGGGGGATAGCCGAGGCACTTGTGCGGGGCAGGAACGCCGGAGGGTGCCAACTGGGGCTGGCTGCCGAGCCCTACAGTGTGTTCCTGGGGTTGAGGTCTGAGAGCGGGTGCATTTTGGGGGGATAGAGAGATCTGTAGATCAGACAGGTGTTTCTTTATGCTCATGCTTTGGAGGGCTTGATGGTGGCTCCACGCGAAGGGTTTGGGATTGTTGCAGCAGTCTGGAGACATGCCGGCTGCTGGCCTGGGAGGCAGAGGGGCCGGACTTGCTGGGATGGAGCTGTTGGTGGCTGAAAGGTCACCGTGGCTCTAACGCCTGGCAACAACCAGGCAATAAAAGAGTAATTTGATGACTGAAGGACAGAGCTGGTCTGATTTTTTCCCCCTCTGAGCACGGGAGGCAGCTGGTGGTGTCGCTCAGCAGCGTGCGGCCCCCCCACTGAGACACGGAGTGTTCGTCGGCCGGTGCTGCTGGCAGCTCTCAGGCTGGAGGTTTTGCTGGTCTGAGCACGGTGTGTGACATGCCGTGACCCAGGGGGACAGGCGTGGCTCTGCTCTGTCACTGCAGGCTGCGCATTCGGGGGATAGCAGGGCAGCCTTACCCCCCAACGCAGCCCTCACTGCTGTGGCCAAGCCCATGGCACCGGACTCTGAGCTGTCGCCGCCGCCGATAGCAACCATTTATCAGCGAGTGCGTGGTGCGAGGCATCGCTGGGAGCCAGTGCTGCGAAGCAGGTTTGTTCAGAGGAGGAACACCTGGGCAGGGTCGCTTTAATTGTAGGTCAGTGGATGTTATTTAACCTACTTTAAACCATCAAATTAAATTTGAGGCAGAGCGCAGCACACTTTCACACAGGCTGTTCGTCAGGGAGGGAATTGCGTTACTCCCTGGCGTTACAGTCCTCTCGGGGCCGTTTCCCTTTCCTGTGGCTGCTGGGGTGGGGTGGAAGGGACACACAGAGCCGCTGCGAGGTTCGCCTCCCACGCAGGAACCATGGGGATGGTTTCCCGTGGATCGCTGTGCTCCACTTCCTGGCCTGGCAAAAGATGGGCAAAGCGGCTGTGAGCCTGCTGCCCAGCCGTGCTCGGCACCAGCTGCTGCCTGACCTGGAAGCAGGGCCCTCCTCCGTGGCACGGGCCTGCTGCAGACCTGCTTGGGAGGGCTACACCGTCAGCACCGGACCTAAAGCTAGCACTCTGGGACGTGAGATGGAAGCTGTGGGTTGGGGGGCTCCGGGACACCTCCTGCAGGGCCCGATCCCAGGCAGGGAGCAGCCTGCGCTTGCACCGCTCCCTTGAAAGGCTCTGATTGTGTCATTTCTAGCGTATCTGCCAGATGCCTTTCGGTCCATCCACATTGGCCCAGGATTTGTATCTCTGGGCCAAGAACTCTAGTTAATTGATTAATTTAATTAGGAGATGCTGCGGAACATGTGGCAGTTGAAACGAGCTGAGTCCAATTGTGCTGGAGGGAGCGGGCAGCAGGAAGAGGGGATGTTCCCACCTTCCCTCCAGAAGGAGCAGGGGTCTCTGACTTGCTGATGTCTCAAACAGGTTCTGCCTTAGGACTGAAATTTCCCCTTGGGGTCAGTTTGTCTGTTCCTGCATCTCTTGCCTGGCCTATACTGGTCACTGCTCTTCATGACCAGCTTGCAGTCGGTGCTCAGCCTCTCCGTCCCGTCTGGAGGCAGGGAGCACCTCCGAGCTGCCCCTGGCAGGGGCTCTCTGGATAGCGTGCAGTCCGTTGGTCTCTTGCTTCTGTTTGCCTCAACTCTCGCTTGTAGCCACAGCTCAGTGTGACTTCTGGGGTTGTACAAATGCCTGCAAAGTATAAACTGTTTTTTGCAATTAGGTGAATCTGTCTGCAAAACCTCTGACCCTGGCTTTTCCTCCGATCCTCGCAGCTGTGAAGGCTGCGAGGGAACTGCACCCGTCTGGGAGAGCAGCTCTTGCCTCTTCCAGCGCTGGTGGAGGAGAGAGGAGAGGCCCAAAGGTGGGTTTGCCGGGGCGGGATGTGACAGCCCTGGGCACCAGCGGTGCCGCTGGCACATGGTGGCACTCACACTCCCGGTTGGACCCAAGCTTGCGTGGCCGTGGTGGTGATCAGGGGCTGTGTTTGCAGCAAGGCCTTTGCGGGAGCTGAGGAGGCCGTGAGTCCAGCCCTGCCGCGGTGGGTCGGCAAGGTGAGCCCGGCCCCGGCACGGCCTCGGTCCGTCGCTTGGCAGCAGGTCATCCAGGGGTGCAGACAGGGTGGGGAGGGGAGCAATGGGCTTCTCCTGGCATGACTGGTGGCAGAAAGCCCGTCTTGGATGGAGATGTGACTCAGTTTGCTGGAGGCTCCGCGATTTCTCTTATGTGCTGCCAGAGACAAGTCTTGACAGCTCTTCTAGCGATGGGCATGCTACGCATCCCAATCTGCAGAGGGACCTTGATGAGTTCGCTGGGCCCTGCGTGGCCACGATGGTGAGCAGCCTCTCTCCTCCTCTCCTGCGGAGCTGGAGCCCGCGCTCCCCGGCTGCTCCCGGTGGCGGGGCAGGGGCCCCGCGGCCCGCGCCTTGCCCGCGCGCCCCGGCGGCGCCCGGTGTCGGGGCAGGGCCGGCGGCCCCGTGCGCTCTGTCTGGAGAGCAAAAGGCAGGAGCACGTCAGTGCTGCCGATACGGAGATTTCCCTCGGGCACCAGCAGCCACCTTTGCTCCCTGCGCCGTGGGGTGGGGCGGATCTCGGGAGGCGACTCGCCTGTGTTTGGGGCCACGAGCACGGATGCCAGCGGGCAGTTTGGGTCTGTGTGCCGTGAGGATTCCTGCTTCCCCCCGTGGTGTGGGGAGAGCTGGGAGGGCGGCAGGCGGTGGGCTGCTGTGCCTGGGGGCAGCAGGGAGGAGACTCCCGGCATTGCGCTTGCAGTGCAGGGATGCTCAGCCTGAGGCTGCCCTCACAAGCTGCGGGTCCTCTGGTCCCCGAGGAGGGTGTTCTGCATGCCCTGGCCCGTGAAATCCCACCCTGGGGTGGCTTTGCATCCCTGGCCCGTTTTTCTGGGTGGAAAGTTCGCTCCATGCAGAGCAGCCCTGGCAGCTCGCCTGTCCCGTTGCATGCAGCTGGCAAGACCTGGTAAGGACAGGCGTTGTCAACTGGCCCCGAGATGCAACACCAGCTTCTCTGATCAGTTTGCCTTTTCCAGAGTTCAACCTGCCATCCGCCTGTGGAGTCTGGCTGGCAGGTTGGTGCTCGGGGCATTCGGGGTCCTGCCTGGGGGTTCGTGACCACCCAAAATGGAGACTGGAGGCCGGATTTGGAGGATGCAGTGCAGTGAGCCCTCTGCTCAGTCTGCAGCTGAGCACGCAGCCCCCAGAGTGGAGCTGGACTGATGTCCCCAGGCAGGTCTCCTCCGTTTGATTCGGTGGCATCACTGGTCGCCCTTTCAAAGCTGTGGCTGCGTCCTCCTTGGTGCCAAGGTGTCTGCAGGCTGCTGGTGCTCCCTTGGCTGAAGGGCCAGTCTTTCTCGGGGCTGGGGACCTGCTGGCTGCCATCCTGGCCCCTGGGAGCAGTGCTTCTCCCTCCTGGGAACGGCTTGGTGCCCAGGCAGCACGGGAGGCAGTGGGAGAAGCATTCCCTTCTCCCCAGAAGGAAGGCCCTCTCTGTCTGCCCCGGAGCTTTTCCTCTGTGCCAGCCTTCACTGAGGCAGCTCAGTCTTTCCCCTGCAGTGCCAGGGTCTGTCTTTCGAGGAGCTGGGCTGCGTGTTTGGCTCAGCCTCGCTGTTGGCATTTCCCTTGTGCAGGGATGGCTGGCGTGTAGTGGGTCTACCTGGCTCCCCTCCATCTGCTTCAAGCAAAGATTTGGGCTGGGATTTGCCTTCCTGGAGAGAGGAGCTCCTTGCTCAGGGTCTCTGGAAGGGCTTTTCCTACCTTTAGGGCTCATCTGAGCACCTCTGCTGCTCTCGCCACTGCAGCTCGGCAGAGAGCGAAACCAGGGAGGTTCCTCTTGAGCTGCTGTAGGGTGCTTGGCTCTGCCCTTCCTTGGGGCGAAGTGACGTAACGAGTGGCCACCTTCCCCTTGGCACTGTCTGTGTGCAGTGCCCGGGGCAGGGGAGAAGAGCAGCACCCCTCGGAAGGGGCTGCACCTCGAGGGCAGGGAGCTGCCCCGTCGGGTCTCAAAAGACCAGGGCAGCAGCGGCCATGAAGAGAGATGGGGAGTAGTGAAGCCACCAGTCTCCTTGGAACCCCACCGCTGGCACGGCCCTTGGCCCTGGGAGCTGCGTGAAGCAGGCGGTTTGCCTCTCGCCCAGCTCTCCTGTGCCTGCTGCGCAGGTTCCTCTGCCGGCTCCCTGCCTCGCCAGCCTGCCCCGCCGCAAATACCAGTTTCCCCTATGCGAGTCTGGGAGACTTTCTCGCCTTCGTT